GCAACTCACAAACAATGGCGGCTGAAATGGCGTTAGTGAAACCCATCTCCAAATTCACGTCCCCAAAGCTCTCAAACCCAACCAAATACCTCTCCGGGAGACGTTTCTCCACCGTGATCAGAATGTCAGCCACCGCTTCACCGCCGCCTCCGGCCACCACCACCGCGAAATCCAAGAAAGGTACGAAGAAAGAGATTCAGGAGTCGCTTCTTACTCCGAGGTTCTACACGACGGATTTCGAAGAGATGGAACAGCTTTTCAACACGGAGATCAACAAGAACCTTAACGAGGAAGAGTTCATTGCTCTGCTTCAAGAGTTTAAGACCGATTACAATCAGACACATTTCGTCAGGAACAAGGAGTTTAAAGAAGCTGCAGACAAGTTGCAAGGACCTCTCCGACAGATCTTCGTCGAGTTTCTTGAGCGGTCTTGTACTGCTGAATTCTCTGGTTTCCTTCTCTACAAGGAGCTTGGTAGAAGACTTAAGGTATAAATATGGCTTAAATTGAAAAATGAAATAATATAATCTTCTTTATGATGTAGATATAATAATAATTCTAGCTAAATTAGACATTTTTGTATATTCTTTGGACGAATGTTAGTTACTAATGTAGCTTCTAGTTTCAGTTGTGTTGGAAATTGGAATTGCTCTGTTTTTAAGAGTTGTTCTTGGTGTAGTGTTTCTTGTCTACATAATGATTGAAGCTATACTTATTAGTTAAGAACGTATGACACTTGAATGTTGTTTCATTGGATCATTTTGATTGGTTTGATCTTTAATCTTTTGATCTAATGGCATTGCAGAAAACAAACCCTGTTGTGGCTGAGATCTTCTCTCTTATGTCCAGAGATGAAGCAAGACATGCCGGGTAAAATCTCTTTGAACAAGAACCTGTCTTTCGATATTGTGAAACCGCAAGGACTTGTTAAATCTGGTTGTTTGTGTTCTTGAATTTGATGGAAACAACTTTTTTACAGGTTTTTGAACAAGGGTTTGTCTGATTTCAACTTGGCTCTTGATTTGGGTTTCTTGACAAAGGCAAGGAAATACACTTTCTTCAAACCCAAATTCATCTTTTACGCGACTTACTTATCCGAGAAAATCGGGTACTGGAGGTACATCACAATCTACAGACACCTCAAGCAAAACCCTGAGTTCCAATGTTACCCAATCTTCAAGTACTTTGAGAACTGGTGCCAAGACGAAAACCGTCATGGAGATTTCTTCTCTGCTTTGATGAAAGCTCAGCCTCAGTTCCTCAATGATTGGCAAGCCAAGCTCTGGTCTCGCTTCTTCTGCCTCTCGGTGAGTAAACTAAACACTCTCTTCAATTCTCTACTTCCAAATGTGTTTTGCTCATTGGCCTAACCATAAGAGGACTGATTTTGCAGGTTTATGTGACTATGTACCTCAATGATTGTCAAAGAACTGATTTCTACGAGGGTATCGGGTTAAACACAAAGGAGTTTGATATGCACGTCATCATCGAGGTAAACGAACTTGAAACCATAAGATTAATAGTATTAAGCTGTGTGTTATGCCCATTTTTTTCTGAAAATGTTGAGATTTGGTTTCAGACAAACCGGACAACGGCAAGAATATTCCCGGCCGTGCTGGATGTTGAGAATCCCGAGTTCAAGAGGAAACTCGATAGAATGGTTGTGATCAATGAGAAGCTGATGGCTGTAGGACAAACCGATGATCCTTCCTTCGTCAAGAACCTCAAGCGGATTCCTCTCATAGCTGGTTTAGTCTCTGAGATTTTGGCTGCTTATCTCATGCCTCCTGTTGAGTCTGGCTCTGTTGATTTCGCCGAGTTTGAACCTAATCTTGTCTATTAGTAGCTGCAATGTCAAAGTCTTGAGCTTACGGCTGGTTCTTGATTTCTTGTAATTTAATGATCGAAACTGAGAAACCTCGTTTTTTTATGCAATAAACCAAATACTTTTACTACACATTAAATTGCACATTGCACATTGAATTCACTTTTTATTGAACTGATTGATACAGTTGAGTTTGCTACATAAAAACACATTACGAAATCTAAGAAATGATCCCCCGGATAAATGAAACCTGACCTCATTCCTCACTCCTCATTCAGATTTAGCCTTAGGTTTCTCTTGTTCTTCGGTCAGAGGCTTAAACACAACATTGAAGAACCAAACAGCGAGCAACGTACCTTTCACAGGTCCAAGCCAATACACAAGTAAATGCTCTTTCGTTATATGTTCACCGCGTGCATAAGCCCATCCCATAACCTGCAAAACATTTCACACAAAACAATCAATCAAACAAACATCGGTTTGGTTTTTGCTGGGAATCACAATCACAAAGACTCTTTGTTTTTGAGAGGTACATACAGCTGCTGGATTCATGCATCCGCCGGTTAAATCAGAGCCAAGAACATGAAGAGTTATCTTAGCAACACTAGCAATCCAAGTCTTCATGAAGAAACTTCCAGGGATCTTCCTTGTTAGTCCCATTGAGAGTATCACTATGAAAAACGTTAGTATCCCTTCGGTGAAAGCACCGTGATGAATCGCTACGTTTAGTCGAGGTCCTTTTCCAATCTCAGGGAAAACTTGAATCACATGCTTAACCGCAAGTACTGATCCAATTACCTGAAACAAAAACAGAACCTTTGATTAGACAACAACACAATGTGAAAATTTTCAGCAAAGATTCTCCAAGATCAAGTCTTTATAAATCATCACGAGAAAACAAAGATGATATGATCCTTTGAGAAGAACCCAGAAGCTAAATTTCACATAGTTGATAGATAGATCCATTACAAAAGTTCTCAACTTTTTGCTGTAATTTGACATTTTACAGCAACACACACATGACCCTAATCTTTCATTTCACTGAAAAAGTCAACGAAACTGACCTCGACGGGGATTCGAACGAAGACGACGAAGATGAAATTGCCGAAGCCACCGGAGACACCAGAAGCCAAAGCGGTCAAAGGATTGAAAAGTCCACCTTTTGTGAGTTTCTGAAGGAAAGCGAAAACGAACATGGAGATGACTGAGAAAAGATACCGGACGATCTCACCGGTCGGATCGGTACGGCTGAATCCGAGAACTCCATGGACTAAAATGTTGACCATAACTCCTGCCCATACCCACATGAATGACAATACAAGATCAGAAACCACTAGACCGATTCGACCCATTTTTTGTTTCGATTGCAACGAGGAGGAACAGTTTTCTCAGAAAGAAGAAGAAAAAGGTAAGCTTTTTAGGATTTTGGATGAAAAATATCAGGTGAATTAAGGACCGTTGAAAGAAAAAAAAAAAAAAGAATCGAGTTTATATGATTGGCTCTAAGTGGCTGGTGAATTTAGCATAGAATTGACGCTAGAGACATTTGTTAATGTTTTTGGCCTTTGTGTTATATGGGTGGTGAGTCAGCTTTCCGACAATAAAGATTCTTGAGATTAACCAATTCTTAGAACATTGATTCCAAATTGCAAATTGTATGACATTGATTCCAAATTGTTAACATTAATGTGTAAATA